GATTCCCCTCAAAGTAAAAGCAAGGTTGGTTGAATCAATGGTCATGATTCATTCTCTTCTCTTTTTGATTTAGATCCACACAATACCAACTCAAGCTATTTGTGGATTTTGATTTCCCGGTAAGAATGATGCAAGGACCGAGAGTCTTACCTGGTAAGAGAGGGGTTGGTTCTTACCATGATTTGCGCTTACTGGGAAAATTGTTGCATAAGATACCGTTTTTCTTGACTAAAATCCTACATGTTAAGTAAATGATAGTGTTGAATTTTATCGGTAAACACTTACCGGGTAAGTTTTTGAAAAACGAAACCTTAATTGATAAAAGAAAGATGAGTTTATATGAGTTAAATTGGACAATTTTTTACTTGTATTTTTTACGTCTTACACATTAAATATGCACTAGGAATTACTTCCTTTTAGATCATATAATTTTCTTAAAAAAGTAAAATAATAAATATTTAAGACAAAATTTACTAAAAACTTAAAGGTAGACTTGCTTATGTTTGCTAAGACTTATCTTTGGTTGGTAAAACCATAGAGGTTCTGGTTCTTGTTTATGATTGCTAAGACTTACCTCTGGTTGTTCAGAGGGCTAAGGATCAGAGAGACTCTAGTTGGTCTTGTCTCTGGCTTCATGTCTGGAACAGTTAGAACAGTTTTGTAACTATCAACTACCATTAATTAGTAGTTTTTGTAACTACCACTTTTTAATGTGCAGTTTTATAACTGTTCACTACTCTTAAAATTGAGACATGACTCTTTGAATCATTGTTTTCGTCATTAATGGCAGGTGGGTAGGTAGAGAATACCTGTCTGGTTGTAGCATTAGCACTTTTATTTGCGAATCCTTTTGTTTAATATTAGAAATATGAAAAATTTTGATTTTTCATATTTTATTGCCTTGGACTTGTGTTTTGCTTTTTCGAATTATAGAAAGATTGGGTCCTACGTCAATTCCATATATGGATTAATAACTACAGATATTGAAGAGAAGGTACCTGTTACCACATCCGGGGTTTCCTCAGCTTCGGCTGCAGCCATTTGGAACACCCTCCCTTTTGGTCTTGGTGCTTCTTGTTGTCGTTCCTCTCCTTTCCCACCTATGCTTTCTCCTTGAATGGCCGTAACATCCTTCTTCCTTTGCGGGCAGTCTGCTTGCACATGATTGGGTGACTTGCAGATGTAGCATAATCTCTCTCTTCGTTCCATTCTGCAGTCTTGGGACAAGTGTCCAGCCTTCCCACACCGGTAACAGACCCTGGGCTTAACCAGGCATTCTCCTCTATGCACAAGGTTACATTTAGGACATGGTTTGCCCGATTGTTCTTGACATACCTTCCTTTCCGAGTTCCCAACTTTTTGTCTTCGGGCTTCGTTGTTTGAAGCCTCCCATTTCCTTTTTAGCTGGCCCCGCTCAGATTCTTGGCGGACCATTTCCTTTTCTCTAACTTCGGCTGCATTCACAGCCTCTTGGAAAGTAGTTGGTTTCATGGTGAGGACAAACTCCCTGATGGATGCTTTCAATCCCCATATGAAACGCTCTACCCGTCTCTCTTCAGTAAAGACATAATGCTCAGAGAATCTAACCTTCTCTGTGAAGCTAGTCGTGTACTCCCTGACCGTTAAGCTTCCTTGTTCTAACCTCAAGAATTCTTCTTCCAACTGTTTTACAGCAGTTCTTGGGCATAACTTCTCGTTGAACAGCACCTTGAACTCATCCCATGACATCCTTGCTACAGCCTCTTCGCCCCTTAGGTTGGTAATTATTTCCCACCAGAATAGGGCTTCAGACTTCATCATGGAAGCAGCATAAGTCACCTTGTCTTCCTCTGCACATTTGCTAACTTTGAAGACCATCTATGTCTCCTTTATCCATCTTAGGGCCGTAACTGGGTTTGGCTCAACCTGAAATGGTTGGGGTTTGCAAGCTAAGAAAGTTTTGTAGCTACGACTCCTCCGTCTCGTGGTAGTGTTGACAGGACTATTGGCTCTTGACCTTTCTCTATGGTCCTCTCTATGGTTGATGTTTCTAACCACTTCTCTTACCACGCTAGCTTCCCTAGCCTCTTCATTCCTCTGCTCTGCCTCTCTTACTTGTGCTATAACAGCAGGCAGAGCAGCTTGCAGAGCTCTGGACACCTCTTGAGCAATGAGGTCCACAAGGGTGGTGGTCGCTGCCCGTGTGCGACCTCTGCCTCTGCCTCGGCCTCTGCCTCTGCCTGATGCAGAGCTCTCTTGTACCGAGGGCTCTGGCTCGCTTTGTCTTGTTTGCGATCTTCCTCTGCCTCGTCCTCTTCCTCTAGTGCTCGCGGTCCTCATGGCCGCAACAGAGGCTGGTATCACCCCTGGTACAGCAAGGATAACCCCGACCAGAAGTGTTTCCTCTGCATCGGGAGCGACTGATAGAGTCCTTCTCGATCGTTGAGACATTCCTTCTTTCTTAACTATATGCGTATAACATATTATAAATAACTATTCTTATACACAACTTAGCATTCCACAACCATTCAACAAGATTTAAACACCAACATAAGTTTATTTCATTCCATAATCATGTCAATCAGCTCATACTTATTGCTACGAACTTATTGCAATAAAACTAAATAAAAGAAAACACTGAGATATCCCAGCTCTAGGCTACCAACTTATTGCAATAAAACTTAGCCACACACAGTTCATATGCTAACTATTTTCTCCTCATCCTCTTCTTAGTCCTAGACCAACTTCTCTACGTCCTCGTCTTCCAATACTTCTAGTGCGCTTGGTATAAACCATTTTCTTATAACTCACAGCGATAAATCTATTAACCTCAACACAGTCATCACTTAACAGCAAGCACACTAACAGCAAGAATAACAATCCAAATTCATCATTTCTGTTTCAATTTTTTTTCAACCTTAATTTTGTCTAAGTTTAGGCTAAAATCATAACCTATTTCTCTTAGAACTAAGGCTCTGATACCACCTGTAAAGACCCAAAATCCAATCTTTATCTTAACCTCAAATCATAAATAAAATTCAACCTTAAAAATTGGAAACTTACATAAAATACTGGATTGAAACAGTTTAAACATAACTCACAGCAAAAGTCTAAAAATTTCTTCTGATCATACATCAATTGCTTAAACCCACAACTGACTACTCTTCGTCATGACAAGTCACGACTAAACTTCATTTCCAGCCTATCTTCTTCACGCACAGTCAGGCTCTACGCCTTCTCTTTACCCTTGCTACTATCTCCATACGAGTAATGACCTAGTTGCATTTATTTTGAAAACATGAGTTTGGTGAGCCTAAAGCCCAGTGAGTAAACGGTTTTTGCGCAGTTCATAAAACACAGAAGTAAGAGGGAAATGACTATATCACACAGTATTGCCTGGCGAACTTCACACAGCATTGTTCGCTCTTACGGCTTGCCTGGCGGACTTCACACAGCATGTCCGCTCTTACGGCTTAACAAGCTTCACACAGCGTGCTTGTTTTAGGATTAAATCCTTAGTTCACTTCCCCTCACTTCCCACACATCATTTTATCACAAAGCACATCCACGCAGAAACCATAAACATAAAACACAACAAGCTTGCAATTTATATTAATCAAATATGCAACCCTTAAAAAGAACGTCACGTAAACTCACAGTGATTGACAGCTTCAATCGTTCTTCTGATGAACGTCACGCACACACAGCTCTTGAGTCTCGACTTTGTGCTTCTAGCTCTTGACCTCAAGTCTATTTTGCTAGTAAGGAACCAAATCACTAGTTCATCGCCTCTATATATACACCTCGTAATCTCCTTACCAATTAATTACCATTTAATTGGTCGGTTACAAAACAATTAATCCCACTTTTAAAACCAATTTATTCCTCTATGGTATTTACGTTTTTAGGCTATAAATAGTTCTAATGGCCTAAAATAAAAAATATAAAAAAATTAAGTAAGACTCTCAAAAACCTCAAATAATATTTTAAGTTATTACATTATATAACATAAAAATTGAAATCATACTTATTTTGTTTCATAGATAATAAAAATGTGTTAAATAATTTGAATAAAAT